CAGGAAACTCATCTGAGACCAAATGACGTTAGAATGCAGAATCGTGTGTACAAGCCAGTTGCACGGTCAGCCGACGGTACACGTACAAAAGGGTTCATGATAGTAATGAGAAGGAACTTGAACATGTAAATTGAGAAAACTGGGTCTGATGATACAGGTAGAATGGCCTACTGTTGCTTGTCTATTCAGGGTAAAAAGATTGCATTTGTTAGTCTGTATGCACCAAATTCATTTGAAAGTGACTTTTTCCCTGCAATAACAAGGACAGTGGAGCTGTTAAGGACCAAAATAGTTCACTTTTACGGTACAAGCATGAAATTTTGCCACATTACTAACACCCCCAGGACTAATATTTCTAGATATGGAACCAAACCTAAGTCGACCCTGGAGCCGAGAACTGGACGTGTCACAAAATGGACTATATGAAAATGAGACTGGCATAAAAAACACCGCATAATCCCTTTTTTACAATCTAATTTGCTTAGTTATCCATTTTATAATGTTGAACAACAATTTTTCATAAACTCCAAAGCATTAAGGAGGTCATGTGACCATTTTCCTCAAGAATGTAAGGGTTGTGTGGGTTCCCTGTGGTTGAAATCCAAAATAATACAATATTTTATCTTTCAAAGCCATATTTATTGGGTTTTTGATAACAAAAAACAATTTAACCATCTCTAATGATTTGTAAGTGCCTCATAATGTTTCAAAGAGTGGGGGAGTTTGTGTGCCCGAATGATCCTAGGAACTATGTTGCCTGGGTCATTCTGGCAAATTGGTCCTAGGTGACGGGTCAGACAAAGAGCAGTTCCTAAATCTCCTATGAACAAAAAAGCAACATGGGCCGATATGGTGCGGCCGGGCATCTCCCTGGAGCAAGGCCTAGAGTCAGGGCAGGAATGCGAGTGCCTGATGGCCAAGTTCAGCGCGAACAGACATGACAGAAATGGGCCCGCCGTCCTATGAGCTCACCACCAGCAGCAGGATTCTGATCGACCTGTACATTCCTGCTAAAAGAGCCAAACGGAAGAGTGGAGCGTGGAGGACGTGAGGACTGTGGGGAAGTTGGAACAGCACTTGGCAGAGCTCTGATGACGAGGATCTGCCTGAAGTGATTCAGAAGCCGAGGATCCTGATTTGGGGAACACCCAAAATTCCTTTTTGAGTGTGACTATGGTTAAGTGTGACGGGGTTCTATTCTAGGGTAATGATGATGGCGTAGTCAGAAGGATGTTTTGATGATTTAAATAGTGACAATGTTCCCAAAATATTAAAGTTTGAAGAGTGCTATATACAAAACAGTGAAACAACAAAGAAAAGTTGTTTACAATATAAACATAGAACAGCAGAAATATGCTTCATCATTTGTAGGCTGTTACCTTCCACGTGCAGGTCCAGGCCTAAACTCCTCCCCCAAGCCAATTAACTCAAAATATGGGTTTTCACCTCTAAAACCCAAGTTAAACATTACAATAAAAATAGGAAAAATACAGACAAATGAATCAAGTGGCCATGTCTCTGCACCTGCAGCAGAACCAGCGGAAAGTAAAATTAATATTTTATTGTCAGCAGTGGTTTTTTTGGGGTTTTTTTTGGGATGACATCACAATGATGTCAGACGCCAATGCCCTGAGGCACCCCACAGGTCAGGGCCATGTCATCTGAGACACAGTTTCCAATTTCAACAAAATACTTCCTGTCTTCTAGATAGGACTTGAACCAGTTCAGTACAGTACCAGAGATGCCCACCCAGTCCTCTAGTCTCTGTAAGAGGATCCCATGATCGACAGTGTCAAAAGCAGCACTCAGATCTAACAGGATCAAGACTGAGACTTTGCCTGCATCAGTGTTCAGGCGGATGTTATTTGTCACCTTGATAAGAGCAGTCTCAGTGCTGTGGTGGGCTCTAAAACCTGACTGGAAAACATCAAAGGAGTTGTTCATTTGGAGAAAGTTCGTAAGCTGTTGGTAAACAGCTTTTTCAAGGACTTTGCCAAAAAACGGCAGATTTGAGATGGGTCGGAAATTGTTCAGTACTGTGGCATCAAGACTGCTCTTCTTTAGGAGAGGCTTAATGACCGCAGTTTTCAACGCATTTGGGAATGTTCCAGATTGAAGTGACATGTTAACTATGTGAGTGAGTGGTGAAAGTAAACTGTTGAGGACGGACTTTAGAAATCTAGTGGGTAACATGTCCAGGCAGCAAGTAGATGAACTCAGACTGGTAACGATCTCTAAAACAGTTTTGTCAGTTACAGGTGCAAAGTGATTCAGCTCTAAGTGTCTCTGTGGCTGCATGCTTGTTATTTGTGTTGTGGAATTGATGGCATTTTTGATGCCCTGAACTTTGTCATTAAAGAAAACTGCAAACTCATTACATTTAGATGTGGAAATTAGTTCTAGTGGCAGTGGAGCTGGAGGGTTTGTTAATCTGTTCACTGTTGCAAACAGGACACGAGAGTTGTTACTGCAATTACCAATAATGTCCGAAAAATACTTCTCTCTTGTTTTACTCAAAGTGTAGTTGTACATATGCATAGTTCCTCTGTAAATCTCATAATGAACCTGGAGGTTTGACTTGCGCCATTTCCGCTCAACCTTGCGTCACTCCCTTTTCTGTGCTCTGACTGAGTCATCATTCCTCCACGGAGCTTTTTGCCTCTTTAACCACTTTAACCTTTATCGGGGCGATGGCATCCAGAACATTCAAAACACTCAAAGTCACAGAGTTCAACACATCATCAACATTAGAACATGAGGCAATTTCAAAATGGATCATTTCCATGAACAGTGCACCTGTGTTATCATTTATGTGTCTCCTTCGAACAACTGTAGGAGCAGCCGGTGGTTTGGGAATAACAGACGGTCAAAGAAGACACAGAAATGATCAGACAGAGCAACATCAACCACATTGACATTTGAAATATTTACACCCTTTGTAATGAGCAGGTCCAGAGTGTGTCCTCTGTTGTGAGTGGGCTCACTGACATGCTGAGTCAGACCAAAAGTTTCAAGGACAACACTAAGCTCTTTGGCATTTTTGTCACACACATTATCCACATGTACATTAAAATCACCTGTAATGACTAAACCATCAAAGTCTGTGCAAACAACTGAAAGCATCTCAGTAAAATCATCAATAAAACTTTGACAGAGCTGAGGAGGTTTGTATATGACTATGTAGAGTCTGGACGGTGATTGTTTTAGCTCCATTTTGAAGGAAACATACTCAAATGATGAAAACACCCCAAATGACAACCTGTGTGTAACCAAATGATCTCTAAAAAATGCACACACTCCTCCACCCTTTTTATTTGCTCGTGTTTCAGATTCAAATTTGAAGTTGGGAGGGGTTGATTCCACGAGCACTGCATGACCTGTGTTTTTGTCAAGCCATGTTTCAGTTAAAAACATAAAGTCAAGATTAAAAGAAGAAATAAAATCATGAATTAGAAATGATTTGTTACATAAAGATCTGACATTGAGCACAGCAAGTTTCTGCTTAGTTTCAGTAGGACTGGATGTTATCTTCTTACAGGGAACGTGAACTAAATTTCTCTGATTAGACAGTCTAACTGTCCTTCTTTTAATCTGTCTACGTGTTGTAACTGGAGCTATAGCTCCATCGCAGGGCCCCAGCCTGATATTACCTTTATCATGACTGTATGTCCTGGGACAGCAGAGGCCCTGTGCGTCCAGCTCTTGGTGATAACAGCTCTGGGGAAAGGCGGGGGAGGGCGAGCAGGGGAGAGTTTGGGTGAGTGACCAGGTGAGGGACCAGGTGAGGGCCGAGGAGGTGGCCGAGGAGGTGGAATACGGGGAGGTTTGGGTGAGGGGCCTGGTAAGGACCGAGGAGGTGGAGTAGGGGGAGGTTTGGGTGAAAAATTAGAGGGAGAGCTGAGAGAGTCTCTGGTGGTGAAACAGGCACAGTTTTGTATGGGGGAGAGTTCAACATAACCCTTGACCGTGCTATGTTAGGTGTGAGAGGAACCATCTTGATTCCCGATCTGATGAGGCTTTCTAGATGGTTGGGCAGTGCCATGGGTGAAGGTGGGGAGGAGAAGGAGAGTGAAGAGTCCGTTGATGGAGTAGATGTAGCAAGGGGGACTCCAGGCTGGTCTGTGGGCAGCGGAGGTGATGGGTGTGCTGGTGGCGCTGGTGGCGCTGGGGGAGGTGGTGGTGGTGTTGCTGACTCATTCTCTGGGGGAGGTGGTGCTGCTGACTTGTTCTCTGGGGGAGGGGGAGGTGGTTCTGACTTTAGGAGGCCAGTACTATAAAAAATCACACTCAACACACATTTCTGTGCAGATTTTTGCTTGTAACTTTTTATGCTGCTGTAGCTGATAAACAGCCTCAGTTTGTGGTCAGTTTTCAATCAAGTCCTTGTTCATTTTTGTTGTCACTCTCACTTTTTGTTTTAGTGAATCTGTATTTGATGGAATTCAAGCTCTCCCAGTGTCTGCTATGCTAGGAGCCACACATTTTACACCAGACCTTTTACATTTGAATTTTAAATTAATGAATGCAGTCAAAAATACATAAAGTTCCATGTTTTTTTTAAAGCATTTATTATTTGCATCAGATTCCACACACAGTTTTTCCACTACTGTCAATGTAACATTGTGAGTAATGTTTACAACAAGAGCCCAAACAGCACTGGTAGCCAAGAGCCATTTTCATAACTTCATCCAAACACCACCTCATTCCAACCAACTTTTACCCTTTTGTAATATAACGCCTTTGTTCTGACCCAAAAAATATACATCACAACATATCTGAGGAAACAGAGTTACAGTTCAACTTTTTTTTTTTTCATTTTGTACTTCTTGTTAATTACTTTCTGTTTTTTTCTTTGAGGATCTTAATAAACCTGTGCCCAAAAAAACAAAGAAACAATCTAAAGTAAAATGCAAAACAAAAATAGGCAAAAAATCTGAAATATAAGAGAAAAACATCTGTGGACAAATCTATCTATCTATATCTATATCTATATATATATATATATAATTATTGATTATAACACAGCAACAGAACATCAGGAAAACATGACTGGATAGAATAATACACCTGCCCTTTAACTGCTAACCCTAAGAATTTTATATTTGATGATATATCTGTTACATTGAGCTCAATGCATGATTTTCTAAGCACATTATCTTAAGCAAATAGGAGAGGATATAAACACTATCTCCTCACAGGGATGGAGGTCTGCCTGGGGGCCACACCACTGGAGCAGGGTATGTAATATCTGCTTGTCTTCAAACACTCTGTGGTCTTTTTCAGACACACAAAGCAGAACTCCAGTTTGCACTCTGCACAGGTCACATTCTTACATTTGGAAGACTTGTGCTCTATCAGTGACCCACAGTTGGGACAGGCACGGAACAAGGGGCACCCTTTGACGCCCTTCACATCAGTAAACTCAATCTCTTTGCAATTTAGAAGAGTAACCAGTGCAGGATTCTCACATCCTTCATTGCCACAATGATCTGAGTGATTATATGGACCTTTCCATTTTTTCAGACACTGCCAACAGAACTCATGGACGGCTTTTTGCCTCTTTGTGCACTGGGGACAGCGCACACACAGTTTTTCTGGGTCCTGCCTCGAAACACAAGACTTGCAGCCAGGACACTGTGAAGACAAAGAACACATCAGTGCATCTGAGGTATCAGAGCTGCAGACTATCTTCCTCACTCACAAATTTGACTTTGAGATCATGAAGTAAAAAGTTGGCAGACAGCTTCTTTTCAAAAGCATCCTTCTCCTCATCCGTCAGAAGAGCCATTTTGGCCACTTCATCCAGAGTCCACTTAGCACCGCAGACGCCGCACTGCAGGTGGCCTTTACCCTTTAGTTATGAAAATGAGAAAGAAAAAAATGACATAGAACCAATGTTGTAACTTTTGACTGGGGTTGAATAGGACTGACCCGGTTGAGTTGCCGGTGGCACCACTGAGTGAGAGAGGGGGGCGTGACTGTGTGACCACACGACATCTGAGCTCTGTTAGAGCTGTAGTCCATACATAAAACTGTAACACATTTAACAGTTCAAGTGTCTCTGTTATGTGGCACATAGTCTGTCTTTAGGCCAGTCTGAAGACTTTGTCTGTACTCACAGTCGTGGTCATCAGGTACATCAGCAAACGTCAGTATGCGGTCACTGGGGCTGTAACATTTCTGTACTTGTGCCATATTCAAAGGATGATCGTCTTGGATCTTGTGATTCTCCCACTTGTCTCTTCTGCAAAACAAAGACAATCTTTTCTGAGCTTTAATAATCTCATACACTAAATCAGAGGAAATCTGAAGCCTCTCCACTAAATTACATATTTTTTGCTTCAGTTTCTTTTCCTTTGGACATCTTCAGCTGTATGGGGCTGCAAGTGTAGAAAGGTATTTTAATTGATAATTGATTCCCTTAAGGCTCTTATTTACCTTTGACAAGGAAGTCACAGTTTAAATATCAACACTAGTCTGCCCCAGGGCAGCTGTGGCTACAATAGTAGTTTACCATCTCCAGATATGGAGTGAATGAGTCTGTGAAGAGTCTTTGAGTGTCCACAAAAGCACTGTATAAAACTGATGCATTATTAAATGGGTTATTAACTGCTAACACATAAACAGTGTGTTGTGCAAGTTCACACTTTTCATGAACTAGTTCAAAGTTCAGTTCACACTTGTTCAAAGTGAATAGTTCACGTTCATAGTTCACAATTTTAATTTTGAACTAGTTCAAAGTTCAGTTCATTTTATATTTAGATGAGATCTGTAAATGAAAGGCTGCTTTTATTTTTCAAACTGACTTCTAGTTTACAACAACTTTACAAGATCCACTGTTGGACGAGTGACTTTAAAACTGTAATGTTTTATTTATGACTTGTTACTGTCATTTCAAAGTCATTTGTTACATTATAATATTACTGTATTTAAAATGTAAAACATGACACGACTATTGCAGCATTTTTAATTTACTCACCAAAAGAACTGTTAAGATGCTGAACTTTTGCACCGTATATGGACTGAACCAGACTGAACCAGACTAAACCAGACTGAACCAGACTAAACCAGGTCTAAACCAGGACTAAACCAGGTCTAAACCAGGACTGAACCAGGTCTAAACCAGGACTGAACCAGGTCTAAACCAGGACTAAACCAGGACTGAACCAGGTCTAAACCAGGACTGAACCAGGTCTAAACCAGGTCTAAACCAGGTCTAAACCAGGACTAAACAGGTCTAACCAGGACCAGGACTAAACCAGGACTAAACCAGGACTAAACCAGGTCTAAACAGGAACCAGGTCTAAACCAGGTCTAAACCAGGACTAAACCAGGTCTAAACCAGGACTAAACCAGGACTAAACAGGACTAAACCAGGACTAAACCAGGTCTAAACCAGGTCTAAACCAGGACTGAACCAGGTCTAAACCAGGACTAAACCAGGACTAAACCAGGTCTAAAACCAGGACTAAACCAGGTCTAAACCAGGACTAAACCAGGTCTAAACCAGGTCTAACCAGGACTAAACCAGGACTAAAACAGGACTAAACCAGGACTAAACCAGGACTAAACCAGGTCTAAACCAGGACTGAACCAGGTCTAAACCAGGACTAAACCAGGACTAAACCAGGTCTAAACCAGGTCTAAACCAGGTCTAAACCAGGACTAAACCAGGACTAAACCAGACTGAACCAGGTCTAAACCAGGTCTAAACCAGGACTAAACCAGGACTAAACCAGGACTAAACCAGGACTAAACCAGGTCTAAACCAGGTCTAAACCAGGACTAAACCAGGAACCAGGTCTAAACCAGGACTAAACCAGACTAAACCAGGACTAAACCAGGTCTAAACCAGGACTAAACCAGGACTAAACCAGGTCTAAACCAGGACTAAACCAGGTCTAAACCAGGACTAAACCAGGACTAAACCAGGACTAAACCAGGAACTAAACCAGGACTAAACCAGGTCTAAACCAGGACTAAACCAGGACTAAAACCAGGAAACCAGGACTAAACCAGGACTAAACCAGGACTAACCAGGTCTAAACCAGGTCTAAACCAGGACTGAACCAGGTCTAAACCAGGACTAAACCAGGACTAAAACTAAACCAGGTCTAAACCAGGACTAAACCAGGTCTAAACCAGGACTAAACAAAACCAGGACTAAAAGGACTAAACCAGGACTAAACCAGGACTAAACCAGGACTAAACCAGGACTAAACCAGGACTAAACAGGACTAAACCAGGACTGAACCAGGTCTAAACCAGGACTAAACCAGGACTAAACCAGGTCTAAACCAGGACTAAACCAGACTGAACCAGTCTAAACCAGGAACCACTAAACCAGGACTAAACCAGGACCCAAACCAGGACTAAAAGGTCTAAACCAGGACTAAACCAGAACTGAACCAGGTCAAACCAGGACTAAACCAGGACTAAACCAGAACTGAACCAGGACTAAACCAGGTCTAAACCAGGTCTAAACCAGAACTGAACAGGAAACTAAACCAGGTCTAAACCAGGAACTGAACCAGGTCTAAACCAGGACTAACCAGGACTAAAACCAGGACTAAACCAGGACTAAACCAGAAAACCAGGTCTAAACTAAACCAGGACTAAACCAGGAACTGAACCAGGACTGAACCAGGAAACTGAACCAGGTCTAAACCAGGTCTAAACCAGGGACTAAACCTGAAACGAACCAGGTCTAAACCAAAACTGAACCAGAACTGAAACCAGGTCTAAACCAGGACTAAACCAGGTCTAAACCAGGACTAAACCAGGACTAAACCAGGTCTAAACCAGAACTGAACCAGACTGAACCAGGTCTAAACCAGGGACTGAACCAGAAACTGAACCAGGTCCAAACCAGGACTAAACCAGGTCCAAACCAGGACTAAACCAGAACTGAACCAGGTCTAAACCAGGACTGAACCAGAACTGAACCAGGTCCAAACCAGGACTAAACCAGGTTAAACCAGGACTAAACCAGAACTGAACCAGGTCTAAAACCAGACTGAACCAGGTCTACTAAAACCAACTGACCAGGAACCAGGAACTAAACCAGGTCTAAACCAGGACTAAACCAGGTCTAAACCAGGTCTAACTGAACCAGGACTAAACCAGGTCTAAACCAGTCTAAACCAGACTAAATCAGAACTGAAACCAGGTCTAAACCAGGTCTAAACCAGGACTAAACCAGAACTGAACCAGGTCTAAACCAGGACTGAACCAGAACTGAACCAGGTCTAAACCAGGACTGAACCAGAACTGAACCAGGTCCAAACCAGGACTAAACCAGGTCTAAACCAGGACTAAACCAGAACTGAACCAGGTCTAAACCAGGACTAAACCAGGTCTAAACCAGGACTAAACCAGAACTGAACTAGGTCTAAATCAGGACTGAACCAGGTCTAAACCAGGACTAAACCAGAACTGAACCAGGTCTAAACCAGGACTGAACCAGAACTGAACCAGGTCCAAACCAGGACTAAACCAGGTCTAAACCAGGACTAAACCAGAACTGAACCAGGTCTAAACCAGGACTGAACCAGAACTGAAACCAGGTAAACCAGAAACCACTAAACCAGGACTAAACCAGACTGACTAAACCAGGACTAAACCAGGAACTAAACCAGGTCTAAACCAGACTAAACCAAACTGAACTAAACCAGGACTGAACCAGAACTGAACCAGGTCCAAACCAGGACTAAACCAGGTCTAAACCAGGACTAAACCAGAACTGAACCAGGTCTAAACCAGGACTAAACCAGGTCTATACCAGAACTGAACCAGGACTAAACCAGAACTGAACTAGGTCTAAATCAGGACTGAACCAGGTCTAAACCAGGAATAAACCAAGACTAAACCAGGACTGAACCAGAATTGAACCAGGACTAAACCAGGACTGAACCAGGACTAAACCAGGACTAAACCAGGACTAAACCAGGACTAAACCAGGGCTAATCCTGGACTAGAACTTGGAATCTAGGACCGCCCCTGAGTGAACCCCGAGGCTCGTGCGTCAGCTGCGTTTATCTCGGTGGAGCGCGGACTTGTGCGTCGGTCCTTTCGCTCAGGATCACGGTTTACGCGGGCGAACCTCCGGCGTTTCACCGCTGCTGATATCGCGGTGATTTTAGCAAATTTGTATGAAGAAAAACGAAAAAGCCACCATTTCAATCCAGGTTAAAAAAGCATTGTGACGCGCGTTACTGACATTTGTACCAAGTAAAATAATACGCGCGGAGCAGCACGTCCTGTGCGTGTAGATTTCAGAAAATAGGATCCATCCTATTTTTTGATGCTCTACACGAGCGTCGGCGCGTATCCCCGTCAAAACCCACAGAGAACATGAATCTGTTGTTGTGTTTGTGCATTTACCATCAGCACATTGTCTCCCTGGGCAGTTGTGGATCATGTGAAAGAGCCCAGATCCACATACACTGTTCATTAGTGCTTTGAAATTAACTTTTGAAATCCTTGCGTTTGCCGTGGTCAGTCTGTACAGAAGGTAAATACAAGCAGCTAAACGCGCCCAGTCAAGTTTGATTGACTTTCCCATTGAGAGACACAAGAGCCCGTACGTTCCGGTAAAGCTGCTGCCGGTGGAGTCGCCTTCACGTTGACACGCGGCTGTGGTTTCGTCAGGTGAAGTGCGAGCAGATCGACACTCGTCAAATTCCGACGTTTAACTGAACCCAACAGTGACGTACGTCGTTCATCACACATAATCTGAACAAATTCACGTTCAAGTTCTTGATTTACAAAAGTGTTGCGTTCAGTTCAAAGTTCACTGAAAAATGAACGTGTTCAATGAACGCGTTCTTTTGAACTCGTTCATGCACAACACTGCACATAAAATATTACTTTTTATCTTACCATAATACCTATTGCATACACGTATTATATTTCTATTTTGTTTTTGTCGTGCTAAGTCACTCACCCTTCAGAGCACTATCCCAACACACTCAGTGTGTCGCACTAATGAAACTCCTGCACATCACATCAGGTTTGTCCAGATGCTGTGATGCTTCAGTTTTGTGTCATGTTTTTGTGTTTTTATGGAAAACTGTGGGAGCATGGTTGACATTATGTAACACTCGACCTCATTCATTAATCTTTTCTTTTAATAAAATCGTAACTTCCACTTTAATAAAATGCTGAGAGAACTCTGCACCAGATTCACAAAACAAAAAAATCTTGAGCTCACAAATTTCTTCTTAAG